AACGAACGAACGTAAAATAACCTTACTTACTTTACTTAACTAAATAATAATTACCTTACCTACTACTATAAATAATTACTACACAACAACAACTAAATAATATATATATATATATATATATATATATATATATAGAGAGAGAGAGAGAGAGAGAATATTGATCCTATAGGTCCCTCCCCCACCCATATGTGTAGGACCTCAAAGGATCACCATTAAAGTTGGCACGGATCTCTAGAAAAGTTATCACATGGATGTGGGACTTGACTTTTTCATATATTCGTACCAAATTTAATGGTGATACTTTGGGGTCCTACACACATGGGTGGGGGAGGGTCCTATAGGATCATTTCTCATATATATATATATATATGGAAAATGATATCATGTCACCATGTCATTTTTTTGTTTTTGATACTGTCATGTCATCGTGTTATTATAATATAATGAAATCACACTTCTAGAAAACCATGTTCATGGTATTTGTATGACCCAAAATTTTGTATACACACTCTTCATCTCAATAATCAATCGAAAAAAAAAAAATTAACTTGCGCCTAATGTGGTCAAACTGAGTCCCCTCCAACGATGAATATAGACCGTCAATTTGGTGAATTTCAAGATCTAGGCCTTTATGAATTCAAATTCTATTTTTTCGTTTTCAACATTGTTAATCTAATGACAATAAAGTTATCTAAAAAATTTTGAAAGAAAAAAGATCCTTCTAAGGCCTAGATCTAAGCATCTCACCCAAATGGACGGCCCATGTTAATGTGGCTAAAAAAACACTTTCTAGGTTGTGTTTTGATATTTTTCTTTTTTGTGATTGTTCATTAGAATGAAAAGAGTGAATCATTAAAAATTTGGGTCAAACAAATGAACCTAACATAATTTTTTAAGATTGTTTCATTATATTTCAATACAACAGCTGCATGAAATCACTCCTATATATATATATATATATATATATATATATATAACGCGCACACACACACATGACTACTTATACGTACTTAAACGTACCTAACTAAACTTAGTAGAAGAATAGGAGTAGTAGAACGGGACCTAACTAACGAAAGGTAGT